AGTATAAATCAAGTAGATCTATGATGAGTTTTTTGAAGCTTTAAATTTTATAATTAGAGATGAAAATAAATTTTCAGGCTGTCGCAAAGAACTTTGCTCCTGAAAATATCATCTTTCAACATTATTTAGAGGTACGCCTTACTTTGATTGTTTTGGGCCTCAACCTTATGTCATGCCATTCTCTGTTATTTATAGTTCTAGACATTTCTGATGACAGGGATTGCTTCGTATGTGATCTTTGGTTGTTGGAATACTTTGGTAGGTTATACTATTTCACTGTAATGATGTTTGATTTGTTGGGATAATTGTAGGATTAATCTGGAATGATGTATTAATAATGGATGAAGTATTGCCAGAAGCGGCTCTCCCCAGTTTTGCCTCAGAGGTTTGGAGTAGTTTCAAGTTATTACTACACTCATCTTTAGGTCCAACATCTGCTACTGCAGTCGCAAAAAATCGAAACATTTATTGGGAAACTGAAAGTAAAGCAAAAGATAATGAGAATATTTACCTTCTCTTTAAAGTATCAATATTTCCTAATGTACCAAATGAGTATAGTGGGAGAACTTTTATCATGTATTGTTTGTAACTCTTTTGAAGAGATCTGGTGTGGTTCCATCATTCTGTCATAGTATTCATAGTTCCTTATGCATCTATAGAGGTGAATACTGTTGTCGTTTATGTTACCCCTATTATATATGAGGAGTTTGTGGTTGGCAACAAGCTAACTTTTTTCCCTTGAGTTATTGAGAAAAATGTCTACCTTTTCTTTAATACGTTACTGTTTCAGGCTGCAAGTGTTGCAATAAACCAATACGTCTCACGTGCATTCTCCTATCTTCTGTCACAAGTTTCAGGTGATCAGTTTTTTTCTTTCTTGTGATTTATTGGTTACAGGTGGTATTTCATATTTATTTACTTTTTTTTTTATTTGTTGGAAGTAACTTCTAGATACTTTTAATAAGGTACAACACAAGAGTAAAAAGGAGTTGTCAAATAATTTAAATAACTGCTACAGTAAACCAGTAAGTCCTCATGTACACATGTTTAATAGGCATGTTACTAAGAAAATAAAGAGGGCTGCCTGCGTGGCAGACAAAAAGAAAACTAATTGAAGCATTCTAGGAAAAAAAAGAACTTCCAATAAAACATACCAAGCACCTTCCACAACATACTGCCTCCTCTCATGGCACAAGACAATTTGGGTTATACTACACTGTAAGCATTCTCCAGATTTAAAATTACCGCTGGTCACAGTTCTTGGTCATCATCTGGCACCTCCTTACTCTGGCCTTCACAGACCTAAAATAAAGCTCCACATACTTGCAAAGGAGGAACTGAAACATTTATTTATACTGGGAGGAGAACTGTTTTAAGGTGGCTAGCAAACTCTGAAAGAGTTCTTTCACATAATCTAGCTTCCATGTCTATAAGCCAATGGTCTCCCCTAGACCTTAACCCTGAACATTCATTTTGTTGTAAGGAGGTTATTATGAAGCTTGTATAACTAGGTCACTTCTCTGTGGTAGTGAAGCCTGAGTACTTTGGTGTACCTCATGTATGCAAAACTGCTAGGTGGGGTGTTAAACTTGATTCATTCTTTTATAATCCATTACGTTGTTGTGGATATCTGTAGTTTGATTTAGAATTCCCCATTCACTATTTCTTTCCTATTGATTCCATCCAAAATTCTGTCACCCCAATGGAGATGATTTTTGGATCAAGATAGTTTCATAAATCAGTATAAGCAATAAAATTAATACACATATTTATTGATAAATCGAATGAATTATTCCAGGGCATTTAATTCAATCTATTGAAATTTTTACAAATAGCCAATGCTGTTCTCTTGTTTATGTACTTCAGATTGGTAGAAGAGTATCATGTATTAACCTATCTCATGATAATGAGGATCTAACATGCTTATTAAAAAGTAATAGGATCCAACAAACCATTTGTTAATTCCTATCTTCAACTGTGATAGCAGACGCTCTTACAGGAGTCAACAGCAAGCAAAAGGGGGGATCTGAAGGAGAAAACTTGTTACAGATAGCCTTGGAGAGTGGCAAAAAAGTAGTTACTCAAGGCAGCATGGATCTCTTACTGGTAACTGCCTAACATTTTAGACTACCACCTTATTATCTTCCAATTTATGCCAGTTTTATTAGCCTACATTGTAATGTTGTCAAATGTGTGCTTTTAGTTTTTAGTTTCTGACAAGTTTTTCATTGGCAGGAATTACGCCAACTTATGGATGATGATCTTGTATTAGTTGCAAGACTCAAAGACCTGTATATTGATTGGGTTCAAGAAGGACTCCAAGGCTTCTTTAGGGCCCTGGATGACTATTTCCTTATGCTCTCTGGTAAAAGTAATCCAGCCAGTCAGGGTGCAGGTTCAATAGATGGGATACCAGTGGACAAAGTGCTACCAGGACTCATTCTTGTGTTAGTCCAGCTGTCCGTTTTTATAGAACAAAATGCAATTCCAAGAATTACTGAGGCAAGAAACAATCTGATTGTATTCTTCCTTGAAAAGTTGATTCAGAGGGAGTACTTTAGTTATCGAATTATGAAGTTAGTGATTTCTTTGCCTGTCATGTTTGTATCTGTCAACCATTAATGGAAGGACTTCTACCAGTTCTATCCTAAGATGTATATATGTCAATAACAGGAAATAGCTGCTTCTTTTTCTGGAGGTGGGGCTAGAGGTTATGAAGATGGACCACCATTTGTTCCTGCTGAAGTCTGTCGAATATTTCGCTCTGCTGGTGAAAAGTTTTTGCATGTGGTATGTTTTAACTCTTATTTTTGCTTAATCCGATGATGCATCGAGATCCCATTTAGTTCCGGTTATACAGTATTTGCATAACTCGTGGTGGTTGTACATGTCAACTTCACTGATTGTTTTGGGTAGGTTTTCTAGGAAGTTGAGGTATTTAATTGTTGCTTTAAGAATAAAACCTGTTTGTTTTGAATATTTACTTGTAAGAACATCATTTTGAGTATTGGATAATTGTAATTTAATGGAAAAGCAGTTGTTAGGTTACCATTCTGTTTATTTGCCGAGCAAAGGGAGAAATTTCTCATGTGGTTGCAACAATTGAGCAGCAGTGGCCCTTCAAACCCTAAGGATTTTGGAGTTGTTCATAGGAGTATATATGTTTCTTTTCCTTGAAAGTTGTCATTTCTGTGCTATGGCGGGCTCTGGTTGGGATTCACCGAAGTCGGCTCAGATTGGGACCCCGATGATTCTAGAGGAAATCCTCTGTATCAGCGTCGAGTCTTCCCTAATGCTAATTTTTATGTTAAAAAATGACCAGTCCTTGACTTAGGCTTGATCCCTGGTACATCCAAGCCTGATTCCATGGTTTTGAACACTGTGTGCCATTATTTGCTAGTGGGCATAATATCCAGCAGAACCTATTGATTAATTTCCTACAAAAACCATGCTTTGTTTTCTGTGTTTTTTATGTGGTCCTGCAATTGTTTGAAGCAGGAACTGCAATTTGTTGGCTTGTGTATGTTCTACTTTGAGCTTGAGTTTGTGTATTTCCTTAAATGATTTCACCCTTGTTTTTTCTTTTGCGGTCATGAAATTTACTTTTGAAATGTTGTTGATTTTCTCATCTCTAAAATTTGAAATTTTTCCTATAGGTTAGTTCATGTGAAAAGATAATGACACGCGCTACATTCATTACATTTGCAGTATATCAGTATGAAAACAAAGAAAATATCTGTTCTTCTCAAGAAGAGGTTCACAACACCAAACTGGGTCAAGGTTAGTATGGGCATTGCTAAGTTCTTTGTAGAAAGAATCTTGAATGTTATGAACAAAATCTGATCTTTTTGTTGAATAATTGAACAGCATAAAGAGCCAAGGGAAGTTCACATGTTTGTGGATTTGCTTCTTCAAGAGGTAAATGCCATAAGGCATTGTTGCTTTATATATAGTGCATTCTATTTATATTCTGCTCTAGTTTCAGTAATCTTTCTAAAAATAAATGAAATTTCGCACTGTTGTTTAATTGTGGAATGGCTCTTGGACAAAATAGCTTCTTACTTATTTAAAAGCTTAAGCATATCTCAAGAACACAGAAGTTGGTCAAATGTGACCCTATGTTTGAAATTTCTTTATTATCCTTCATTTTTTTCACTCTATTTATTTTGTATGGCTTCATGGCCTCAGCTTTCTTTCACTATTATTCAGGTTTTGTACTTATTACGAAATGTGGCCTCTAGGTTTATATTCCATTAAGTTTAATTCTTTCACTTGATTGTGTGATGGTCTCTGAAATTAATTGTTGGTGTTGCCAGTTTATTTATTTTTTGTTGTCTTGGTGATATTGCTTGTTGCTATTACTATTTTTTTTTCTATCTCAATGACTACCTCTTGAGGGAGGGAGGGAGAGTCGTTTGTCATATCATGATTTCACATTCTTTTTAGGGGTATCACGTTGACTGTTTATTTGATCTTCGTATAGTTGGAAGCTGTTAGGGCTGAAGTGAAGCAAGTTTTGCCTCATGGGGTTGTCCGAAAGCACCACCGATCTGATAGCACTGGGAGTACAAACTCCTCACGCAGCAATCCTATTCGCGACGATAAAATGGGCCGCTCCAATACACAACGCGCACGCAGCCAGCTGCTCGAAAGCCATCTGGCCAAGTTATTCAAACAAAAAATGGAGATCTTCACCAAAGTCGAGTACACACAGGTAACTTCCTCTCTCTCTCTCTCTCTCTC